TTTCCATTCCACTAAAACACCTCATTGACTGCAAACAAAAAAAGAAACCATTTAGCACTTGGCAGCGTCCTGCATAGACAGACTGACTGAATAATGAGCTGTGAAAAATTACACGTAGATATGCAACCAAAAATATCAACGGAGATCTAGCAGAAGACATCCATAAAGCTAAGGTCAAAATAAAATTTTAAAATACTGCAACTTTCTTACAAAATTTGCCAGTCAAAATTTTATAATTATTACCTGCTCGTAAATGGCCTACAATGTCAGCCAAACTTCCTTTCTTTACTTTGGTGATAAAGGCCCCCAGTCTCCCTGACTCTGTCATTTTTCCACCAACCACCTGGACAGGACAGACGAGTCAAGTCAAGTAAAGTCACCTTTATTTTTATAGCACTCTATACAATAGAGATTGTTTCAAAACAGCTTTATGGTATTAAACAGGAAAGTAACAGAATCAGTGATGCAAATCCAAAATTCTGCCATAAAGCAGCTCTAGCAAGACAAAAGTGTCATTGTTTAGTACAGTTTTGATTCAGATCAGTTCACTAATTAAACCAGTTCAATTCAGCAATAAGAAGCTCTACTGAGAACAGCAGTGTCGTTATTCAGCTCGAGTCATTTCAAGTTTTGTTCTCATCCAATAGCGTCAGTGCTGTCTAAGCAAGCCAGAAGATGACAGTAGCAACGAACCCAAACTCCATCAGGTGAAAGGATGGAGACCAGTTCTCCCCTGGCCTAAGTGAACGAACACGATGACACGGTGAACTATGTTTACTCACAAACTAAGTACTGTTCTTCAGCTTCTTTACAGAGACATTTTGTAGAGCATGGTGCTAGCAACACTAAAATATATAATTTGAAAGCACTGCAAGTCACTTTGGATAAAATGTCTGTCAAATGCATAAATGCAGTAGGATAAAGAAGCATCCATAATTTACTAGGATGACAAAACAAACAAAAAGTATGTCTGATTATTACGAGTATGTCTGATTACTGACTAAAGCAAAACACATTTGTTTTATGGTTTTAGTTGTAGTAAATGCCAAGTTCTGTCATGAAACTCTAAATGGCGCAGGCTGATGCGTCGTTAATGCAAATTGATGATATTATTCACAGTGTTAAACTACTTGGCACAAGCTGATTGGTTCATGTTGCATGCACAGCCAATGAGCTTACTGCTTTACATTTAAATGGCTGGTTAGCACTCACTAGAGCATTTCACAGTGTGCTTTCAGAGTTACTCTGAAACCCTCCACCTTCCCCAGCTCCACCTGTATAGATCTGCTACAGGTTATTATATATGCTATTTGCGCAGCAGCAGTTTGTTTTAAATACTCACAGCACCGTATCGGCGTATATATTGGCAGTAGCAAGTTACTGTACTTGCTTTGCAGCAGCAGCAATAATCTACAACAACATCAATAACCAACAGCAGCAATTCAGCAGCAGCAGCGTAGCAGATCTATTCTGCCAAGACCAAATACATTAACATTGCATAATAATTCCCATGCTAAAATCTTCCAAGAGTTGTCATAATAGAACTATAACAACCCTTGTCATTATTACCTTTATATATCATAACAAGACCAAATAATGACAAGAAAAAGGCATCTAGCGGACCTTTTAAGGTGCAGTCACTTTTAGCATTGCAAAATTTAGCAAATGAAATCCAGTCATTTTAATGGGAATCAGTGCAATGAAGAATTTCGCCTGATGGACTTCTGGAGGCAAAGAAATTCCCCTATGCCAATTTCACTTTGGGTTCAAATTTTTGAACTTTGACCCAAATTTGCAGAACAGACTGAAAGCAAGCCTCTCTTCAGCAGTGACTTCTGTGTGGGTGGAGGTTCATAACTTAGCAATAAAGCAAAACTGAAGCTCCACAATGGACAAGGTCCTCATTCTGGCTACTCAGCCGGTTCTGCATAATATTACACCTCAATTATAAAGAAAAAAGCTGTAAGGAAAGCTGTTATTTAGGGCTGGTTTGTTTGCTAGCTGGCAGAATAGCTTTGGATGTTTATTTAATCATCATTATTCCCATATTATTAACTATATTTTGTCACATCTGGTCCTGCGTTCGCCTGTGAAATTTCAATACAGTAAATGGGACCACACCTTTAGTGTAGTACATCCCTTCAAGTGCAAGACACGGACAAAGATGTGATTAGCTAGTGTAAACTGCCATTGACAAGCTCACCTTCAGACCCAGCAGGGATCCGGCTTCTCGTGGCATGGTGGAGCGCTTACTTAGAGTGATCCGGCCAATCAAATGATCTCCCTCTTTGGATGGCTGCCAGCTCACTGGATGCTGTGAGGAAGCGAACAATGCTTTTTTAGTCCCATTAATGCTGAACACACATTGCTGACATGACATGTATATGTGAACATACAATTCAGTGAGTTCAGCTACAGAAACGCTGTAATCAAACAACTTCTGTTTCTGCTATTATCCATTGCCGGCACTGATACATGACTGCAATATATGATTGAAATACTTACATGCCACACAGTTGGGTCCAGAGGATGACAGTCCCAGTCACCTACAGAATAGAAATTGACATTATGAACACAGTAATTAATCCAAAATAGAGTTGTAGAAGCCTGATGACAGTCGTAATGGAGGACTGTTTTAAAAACTGCATAACTTCTAGATGGAAACCAATTTGTGAAAGTGTTATTTAGTATCACTGACATTTTAATATAGTAATATAGTTTTTGTTAATATTTTACATTAGACGTTACTTTTTTTATTTGTTAGAGTTCTTTAGTTAAATGTCTGTGTAGTTTTTAATAACCTAATAAAAAATGATAAATGAGTTAACAATAGTAACATCTAAACTAACCGGTTTTACTTGAGTCAGAAATTTGAATTAACATCCACCTAATTACATTAATTTATACAACCAAAACTACTTTATATGAGTTAAATCATGTAGAACAACCTCTTTGAAGTAACAATGCAGGTTACCACTTTTTGCAGTGTATATTATCCTAAAAAGGCAAGATTTTAAGACTTTTTAAGGGAATATAAATAACTTGTTATGAGTTAGGGCTGCATGATAATGGTTAACTGATAATGATTATTTTGCTATGAGTTAACAATGGTAACATCTAAACTAACCGGTTTTACTTGAGTCAGAAATTTGAATTACCACCTAATTACATTAATTTATACAACCAAAACTACTTTATATGAGTTAAATCATGTAGAAAAACCTCTTTGAAGTAACAATGCAGGTTACCACTTTTTGCAGAGTATATTCATATTATCCTAAAAAGGCAAGACATAACTTTTTAAGGCAATATGAATAACTTGTTATGAGTTAGGGCTGCATGATAATGGTTAACTGATAATGGTTATTTTGCTCTGCTCAAGAAACATTTCTGATTATTATCAGTGTTGAAAACAGTTGTGCTGCTTCATATTTTTGTGGAGGTGATAGAATAGAAATATAGACTAGAAATTTTGTAACATTATAATTGTCTTCAGTTTTGACCAATATAATGAATTCTTGGTGAATAAAAGTATCAGTTCTTTCAAAAAAAAAAAAAATCTTACTGTCCACAAAATTTTGAATGGCAGTGTATACACTTTATTTGGACTAATATAGAATTAGTTAACTGCACTGTTCATTTGTTTTCAGTATTACATTTAAAAAAATCAACTTTCATAATCAAAGACAGTTTTTCATTTTAGTTTAAAACACCTGCTACTTTAATAACCTTGTGTAATAAAATAGTGTCAGTGCCCATGGCCCAGTGTCCCACACCAAACACACACCATCAATCTGTTTACACTTACTGCTGCCATGATCACTAAAAAATATTCAATTTAAAATACAAATTTTAACTTATCACCACATTTACCGCTGCATTGTGTATTTAAATAAGAGTGTTTAGTGAATTTGTGGCTATTTGACAATAAAATTAGCTACATAAAGATCACCTACCTTTTTCACTAACACTTTCGATCTCCACGTCCTCACAGCTGGTGTATTCAGGCGTGGAGCCGCCCTCTTCTTCCGAGCTACTGATGGACATCTGCCTTTTGTTGAGGCCTCGTTTGGGTCTATAGGCTCTAGGTGGAGGTGGCCGTAATGACTCAGATTGGTCCGAGCTAAGAGAAGAATCTTTACGCATGATTTCTGCAGCCTTTTCCCGCTTAGCCCTGTGAAGAAAAGCTGCGGACCCAGGTTCCAGATGCCCCTTTGGGCCCCAGTCCTGTCCATCCCTGAGGTCTGGGGGCCCAGTAGGGCCCACTTGAGGGCCACCGTGGCCCTGTTTAGCGAGGGATCCTTGTCCCCCAATGCCACCCCCCACGGTCCTGTCCACAGAATAAGCTCGATGGTTTTCTATAAGGGCCTTGCGGTCTTCGTTGTTAGCCACTCGTTGCCTGCTCATGCGATTTCCAGCCGCCTCACCCCCATCTTGCATTAATCCAACTTCGTTGATGGCTAGGTCGCTGTGATGACGCTCCTGACGCATTTTGGACACTTTGGCATGCATACGCATTTCCTGTTCCTCCTTCTGCGGTTTGACAGGGTAGCGTGCGAGGTTCGGGTCACTGCGGTACCGAGTCTGATACTCCTCCTCTCGTCTTTGCCGCTCTCGCTCTTCCTCTTCCTGTCTCCTTCGCCGCTCGGGATGGGTGGGCTCATCTTCGGGATATTCCTGCGAGTGGCCTTTCTCCAATCGTCTGCTGTCACGCTTCTCACCTGGAGCTCGGTCTTCAGAGGCTTGTGATGACAACCGGCCTGGGCCTCGCCTTCTCTCTCCACGTCCCATCACCTTTCCATTCTGCTCGTGCAGGGACACTGGTCTCTTCCTATTATTCAGCAGACAGAAGTGGGAAAGACTTTGAGGTACTGTATAGCATTTGGAATTTCCAAGTGCTGCATCCAATTTGCATTTACAACTGCTACAATAGCAGTTATTTATAATAAATAGCACAACACCTGTTAACCCCTGTGTTTTAAATTGTGGGAATTCAAATCCAAAAAGGATTTAGTTGAATATGCATCTGATAGGAAGACAAGCAACAGACGTCATCTTATAAAGAGATTATAAGGCAGGAGCTGCAGTCCACATACTGCCAGTTGAAAACAGGTCAGGATAAACAGATTTTGTTGAAATGTCCAGCTTAAAATAGAACAAATTGTATGTTGACAGTAGGGATATGTAACACCACATAGGCCTATTTTGAAAATTCAGTTCTGGGAACCCAATGACTAGCTGACTATTCGGTCTTAACAAAGCTCTCTACAATTTGGATTGCTTCACATAACCCTGGAACTACTAAGAATTTGACATGCCACCTTGAAACATGGCAATAAGGTCCAATCAACTAACATTAGTTGTCCCACTTAATATTAGGTGGCCTTAACTACTATGTACTTACATTTGGTAACAATTTGGTAGTATGCACGTATTGAGTACATACATGTTGTACTTATATTTTAAAAATACCTGCATGCAATTACATCTGTAATTAATTTCTGCAATTACATTCATAATTACACTGTTGACCCATCTCTGACATCTTAATCCACCCTTAAACCTACTCATACCACCAAACCTAACCTAACCTAACCTTACCCGTATCCCACCTCAATAGCAGTAAAAGTGTTTTGCAATACAATATGAACTCAATAAGTACACTGTATTTATTTTTTGATGCAAGTACATGCAAAAGAAGAAAAAAAACGACTTTATTCAACAATTCGTCTCCTCCGCATCACCATGGTGCCATTTTGGAGAGTAGCTTTGTAAAATGACGGTTGAACCCCTGATGTCATATGGATTATTTTACAGATCTCCTTGCTCTCAGATTCCATCAAAAATATCTTAATTTGTGTTCCGAAGATGAACGAAGGTCTTACGGGTTTGAAACTACATGAGGGTGAGTAATTAATGACAGAATTTTCATTTTTGGGTGAACTATCCCTTTAAGGCCACCTAATATAAAGTGGGACCACATTAGTTAATGCATTTGGTATGAACTAACAACAAACCACAACAATTGACAATATAACACATTTTGAAGCATTTATAATTCTGAGCTAATCTTAATAAATATACTATTGTTCATTGTTAATTCATGTTTGTTCATAATACAATTAAATATAAATTTAGATATTATTCGCTCTTTGAAATTAGCTATTTTTGGCCATTCATTCAAAGTTCACACAACCATGCATTCTTCAAAAACTACAATGACACTGTAAAAGTAATCTGTATGAATCTATAAAGAAGCTCAAATGTGCTTGCTCGACAAGAATTTGGGGGGTTGCTGTTGTGTCATACAAACATGTTTGAGCTTCTTGTGCGTCAAGCAAAAACGGTTTGTTTATTGTATTTGATGTGTCTGATGTCCACGTTGATGACCAGTGTTTAAATGTTAGTAAAAGCCTTAATTAAATCTATTAATCATATAAAGCAATTATGTCGGTTAAATCTTCAATTGTGTTCCAAAGATAAACAAAACTCAAAGAGGTTTGGAATGACACAAGGGTGAATAAATGATGACAGAATTTTCATTTTGGAGTGAAATTTAACTTTAATTTATACACTTTAAAGTGGTAAAAATGTACTATTAGTGTATGTGAATTAAAAATGAAATTGTCCATTGTTAGTTCATTAATACCTAACTAATATTAAGAAATTGAACCTTACTGTTAAGTGGAATATGGATACAAATCAGATGTGAATCATGTAAGGCTGCAGGGATGGTCATTTTATTGTGGTTTTACCCTGCAGCAATACAAAATAAATAAAAAATATATCCTAGTTGATCTCACCCAAAACGCAACAAGACAACCTTTATGACCCATCCTTAGTTGACACAATATACAAAAGCTTATTTCAGTTGCCACCCATAAATATGCACCTCTGCATTGCATACTTTGCAGGCTTTGAGAAATATAACTTAGGACTGGCATGTGTATAAATTGTGTAATGTTTTTTGGCCTACTTGACTCGTGGTGGTTCACTGCGGGAGCGTGAAGCGAGCATCGTATCTGCTCCCTTGGTGGGGTCACCAGCACCAGCTCTGTGTGGCAGAGTGTCGTTAGCAACCGGAGCCTGTGATCTGGAGCGCAACTTCCTGTCCTTCTCCAACTCAGGGACACTGAGGGGAGCGCCCACACTAAGAGGCCTCCCCCCAGGCCCTGATGAAAACCATTCTCCTGATTTAGTTAGGATTTCCTGCTGTTTCCTGCACAGGTTACATACCCACATCACCTGCATAGACAAATACAAGTGTTTAAGGCAGGCAGAGATTGATGATCATTGTAAATGATCAAGATTACAGAATCGCTAATATATTGGTATTCAGAATACTTGAATTACATTGTTTTACAGTATTTAAAAAATACATTTAGAATAAGACAGAGAGACAGACAGACATATATAAACATAAAATGCATACAATACAGTGCATCCACACACTATCAAACATTGTGCATTCGTTAACTATATTTAGCTAATATCATTTTAATCTAGCAAGGAATATGAACTGACAATGTTGAGCAGGTATAAATATGAGCTACAATATTACGTAATCAAGTCAACCACTCTAAATCAAGTTCTATAAGGTACAAAAGAGGCTATTTTCAAGTCAGCCAATCTACTCCTTCACAGTTTCCTACACCTGCTGGATTGCACTAATTGCTGTTGGCAGCTATATTTTGAAAAGTCATTCAAAGGTTGTAGATCACAGTACAAGCCTTGAAAGTTGATGGTACCTAAAACCCCCATAAATAGATTGAAAAGCACAGTTTTCAACTTAGTTCTTATTGAAACAGGAAGTTGGGATGAAAAGATATTTACAAACATAATCTGAAAGCTAAAAAGCTTGAAAGCTCTGAATTTATGGCATCTTTAATGACCTGAAAGATTGTGCAATTTAATAACTGGAGGTCTACTAAGAGCACAAATGAAGAGAATCAAGAAAAGAAAACTGTCATCGTGTCATTTCAAATTCATAACATAAGACTTCTGTTCATTTTTGGGACACGACTGAAGAGATATTTTTAATATTCTCTCATTTTTTGTATCCACTGAAAGTCCATGCTACCAAAACTTTTACACATTAAAAAGTATTGAGCAACGCACATAGCTCATTAAATATGGCAACCATATTTGCTTGATGTATAAGAACAAACCTCATTGGTTCTTGCGAAACATTTTACATGCTTGCATGACACAAGAGAACTAACTTCACAGGTTTTCATACTGCAAGCAAGCATGTTTCTCCTTACATTTACCATATTTGATGTGCTTGATTTATGTGCATTGCTCAGTTGAAGGCCTAAATTAAACATATTCATCATATAAAACAATTGTGTCTCTTCTGAAAACTTAACACTGTGGACTTTCAGTGGACAAACAGAAATCTGTCAGGTTTCAATAAAAATATCTCAATTTATGTTTCGAAGATGAACAAAAGTCTTATGGGTTTGGTGAGTAAACTAATACTCACCAATATATCATCAGATCATCTTGCAAGTCTTTGGCAGTAAATTGAGGGGTTTTCTCAGTTGCTCTGATCAAGCATTTTAGTCCCCATGATGATTGTATGCTTTTTCTTCAATGCCCTCAAAGGTTTTCTGGTACAACACATTTTAAATGAATAAAGCTGCCAACTTTGTCTCTAGAAACTTTTAGTGTCTTTCAGTCCATAGACTTTCTCATGTAACAAACATGTTTCTTCTCTATAGCTTTTGTGAGAGCTCTTTTGACTTGGCCATATTTGCTACTCAACTTTAGCAAATGCATGGCGTTTATGTATCTTACAACTTAAGCTAATTCAGTTTTGTTATAGAGTTTCCAAATACTAAATTGTGTTTTAACACAACTTTGTACCATACCACAGAAATAAGTGATTTGTAAACAGCAATGTTGAATAAGTTTGACATTACAAAATAAATAAATGAATAAATAAATCCTATAACTCATTATCAATAAGATTAACATTATCACTTTTAATATGCTACTAAACGGTTATAGATGTAATAAAAAACTCAGAAAAGAACCTTTAGAAAAGCTTACATTTGAACATTATAACAATATATCAGGATTTGAATAATTTTCATTGCATGTGTGTATTTTTGAATAGGAAGTAACAGAAATCAGAAACAATACATTAAACCTTATTGTAAAATGTTTCCAAAACTGCAATGCTCCTACAATAGCACAAGGTGCTAGAATATGGAGCAAGGAGTGACACAACAGCCAAAAAGACACATATGGCTGTAGATGGTATCATTACCATGGTTTTACTGTGCATCTGTTCACATGCTAATTAAACACCACTGCTAGAATACCAATACTAAACAAATATAAACAAGAAAAAATCTAATTAAATTAAAAGTATATTGTTACAATGGAGGTTAACTATCTTCTGAATAAGAAGTAACAGAAATCAGCCATCCTTTTTCTTCATCTGGCTAGATTTTTGCATTGCAAATGCACAAGTTATTATATCATCAGCCTCATATTTGTCAATCTGCTTCCTCCCATATCTTTCCTTTTCCCCAATGAAGCCCTATTATTGAGCCCTGTAATGGTTCATTCCTGAGATGGACGGCTGAGGCTGCCTAAAATACCTCCGCCGACACCATATTTCTTCACTTCCTCTACCCATATTTCTCTCACCCTCTCTCTTACACTCTCTCTTTTTTTAGCTAGCCAGCTAGACAGGCCTGGTCTGACATGATTAGCGGGAATGCTAAATCAAATGAACAGCTCTCGCCTTGACAACAAGTTCACGGCTTTAAAAGCACAGAGGTCCAATCTATTGATCTAGAGTTAGGCTCTTAAAGCACCCTTAGAATGACAGTAAATCCACTCCTATTGTAATACATGAAGGCTGTCTTGGCGGCAGGAAACATTTGGTCAAGAAGGACCTTATTTTTTTACTGATCTCAGTGATTCTACAAGGAAGCCAAAGGTCTGTGCGATACAGAACTGTGTAGATCATATGCACACCCTGCAACCAACACTGCATGTATTATCGATCAGATGAATGGTGTGAGAACGGAAAAGCAGACATCCCCCGAAAAGCCTGTAACATTAGTCATCTTTAGCGCCTGATGATCAGTCGCAAATGGGTTATGAAAGCAAGAGCTTATATGATGCACAAAAACAGTATATTTCGCAACAGATGCAGCTAAAAATGCCTCATAGTTCTGCAATGTTACGACAGATGCTAGATATTTCATACAGGAATCAAATGATTGACTTCTAATGGTGACAAACTAACTGTTTCATGCTACTCACATGGTGGCGTCCTCCTAGATAATGGATCCCCTCTCACAGGGTCAACCTTCAACTCCATGAACATCCAGAATCATTTTTTTTGAAGAATCGCCAGTGCGAGATACCTTTCCGACAAATGCGTCGCATTTCGGTGTTGACCTGATGTTAAAGAGGACAGAGGCTGTTCTAGGACGGGATGGATATGAGGGAGAGTGAGAGAGAAGGGACGAGAGAGCATCATGGCCTGATTGGATCCAGTTGGCACAGCTCCAGCGTAATCTGAGGTAAATCAGATGTGCAGAGGCCCACAGCTGTCAGCCAGCCAGAGAAACACTCTCAGGAAGGATTAGCAATCCTGCTAATCCCACAGCGCTATTGCTAGCCCTTCCCATTATTCAATCCAGTGAGGAGACAATGCTGCCCGCACTCTTCCCCTCAGAGCCACTGGGAAAATACCACTGCAACACTGATCTTGAAAAGATGGACCACAGACCTTTAGTCTGTCTCAATGGAAAAATACGACAAGTTTTTATTGATAATCAGAAAGTAATTCACACATATAGGTGAAAACTGGTATTGCCGATCATGTTTAGATGGGTTTGAGTAGGAACTGAGAAAATCAACACCTAATAATTTTGAATATGCTTCGTAAAAGACGCAGATGGCTAGATGGCAAGATTACTCATCACTAATTTTGTGCAGTCGAGGATGGGTAAAATAATCCAAGGCTTTAATCCTTGAATTAGATCAAATTCGAGCCGTACACACAATGGAGGATTCACTTTCATCTCTGATTAATTTTTTTTTTCTCCAAAGGCCAGTTCACAACAATATCCAGGGCAGCTAAAGCCATTAAAGCTTCTCATCTTGCAAAGGCTTGATTCTAGAGCTCCTCTCCCAACTAGAGAACTGAAGAGAAAAGGGAAATAAAACATTTTAAAATGTAGGCCACTAAGACCTGGCCATTGTTATGAGACAGAGAGAGAGAGAGAGAGAGAGAAAGAGAGAGATTACATCTGAGAGAGGGTAGGAACAGTGGTTTCACTGCATTCCTGAATAGCATGAATAGGATTTTCTTGTGCAGGGAGATCACTAGTAACTAAGTATCAGAATACCCCATAAAAATCAGACAGTAAACAAGTTTAATTTAATTTAACTGCAGACCTGTGGTCAGCACAAATGGAATGAGAGAGACGGAAGAGGAACGTTGTGTATGTGTGTGTGTGTGTGTGTGTGTGTGTGTGCGTGTGTGTACATTTATTAGTGCTGGGCGGTATACCAGTTCATACCGAACACCGGTGTTTATTTTTGTTATGATATTAATTTTTAAAATACCGCAATACCGGTGTATGTCGCTTAAACAACGTTCGGAACACGACACTGTTTGAAAGGGGTCCCTTTTCACTGTTGCACTGTGGTGAGGGAACAGCTGTATGTGTTACTAAGCGTGAAAGTTCCGAAACTGAAGCTGTAGAACTAATAGAACGTGATGACACAGAAGAACTCATCCACAATATCCACATTGACCGCCACAAATATCCACCGCCCCCTGCCATCAGCTCCCGGGTCTCACACACACCCACAAGCGCGACTTTAGCACTAGATTTAGCAACTTTCAGACCCTTTTAGCTGCTTTTTTCCATGGAATATTCATACTGACAAACTTAGCAAATTTTTTGGATAAACCTTAGCTATGGTTCAGTTGGAAGATTTCGCCAGTGCTGTCCCGCGAACGCGAGTTTTAGTTTGTTACTCAGATGCAGGCAGTGCGCTGCATGAGACAAAAAATTAATATAGCCAAAACAACCGCATAGCATCTTTAGTGTAGATGCATGTTGATTTTATCAGACGATGCTGTGATTATAAATGAGAGTGACTCCTGGTTAACATGTATTAAAAGGGGTCGTGTTTAGTCACTATTTAGTGTGGTATTTTTTGACAATATTCACTCATCATGACAGTAAAATAGGGCATTCTAAGTC